TCTATTTCCATTTTAATACATTTAGTTTTGATAATATAGGTACTTGTTTACCATGATCTATTGGGAATGCTTCAACACCCGCATCATGCCAAGGTTAACTTCATGTTCCTTCACTCTGGTATATCAATTCTTTCTGTCTATGAAATTAGTTTCCTCAAAAAGGGATTCCTTTGCCTTCTACAGGTCACCCCAAAGTTCTGCAAGCAGTATGCTCGTGTTGGAGACGTCATCAATAAAGCCCTATCCGAGTACAAGGAAGAAGTAACAAACGGCTCATTTCCTGGTCCTGCCCACAGTCCATATAAAATCAGTGCTGCTGAAATGGATGGGTTCTTAAACGAGTTACAAAAGATGGGTTTGGACAAGGCAGCATCTGCAGCAGCTGCCTCAGCCGAGAAGCTGGACACAAAAGAATCACCTGCAAATGACTGAAAAATAAGCATGTCTGGCATATGCCCCTCTTAGGTTAATCAAATGACGAGATGTTTGGTGGCACCTATTTTCACTTGAAATTGGTCTTGGTATCTGAAAAATGAACAAGGAGTGAAAGCCACATATACAGCTTTCTTCATGTTCGTCACAAATTGTACTTGTTTAATTTAGAAAAAATAAATGGCACCTCAAGGTTGAGTTCTTAGCCAAAAATCAAGTACTTATTCCTAACATAGGAATGAAATCATCCTCTACATCATGTAAACTTACATATCTCTATAAATCTCGAGTTGTGAAGGTAGTCAACCTCTTGGAATACTATCTTAACACATGTTATATAACTCGAATTTATACTCTTTTATTTTTAGCGGAAGAGATTATCAGTCATTAACTTTCATCTAATAATTTTTATTTAACAATTTAATACAGTTTAGACAATAAAATAAAATATTCTAAACATAATATTTTAGCTCTTTACTACTCTTTTTCAATTCAACCTATGTTATTGGGACTTTCCTGAATCCCTGGCCCATTTATGATTATGCTCATTGCTCTGTACAGACCCGAAACAGTGGTTGGAACAACCCAAGTAGTCCTAATCCAGTAAGTAATATGAAAAAAGGAAATTAAAATTAAAATTGAAACGGACACCATTTTCAGTTGCAATTGCAAACCCTTCGTGCAGCTCTCGATCAACACCAGAAAATGAGTTTAATAAATTCAGCACCCAAACATTCGAAACTCCTCCGCCTCCTTGAACCCAAAAAGCCTTCCTCCTTCCTTCTCCTCCGACACCTATGCGCCGAACCCAGCTCACAACCTCCGAAACAGGACGATGAAGCTATTGAAGCGACAGTAACACAAGCACTTGAACTGCTGCAGCAAACCCCTCACCATGACTGGGCTTCTTCTCAACCTCTGCACACTCTTCTTTTTCCGTCCTCGAATCCGTCTCCCAGCGTCCTCTTTCAAATCACCCGCCGCCTTCCCTCCCACTCTGCAGCTCTCAATTTCGTTGACTACCTTCGAAGCAATTCTGCATTGCAGGATGTGCAGGTGCTCTCTTCTGCATTTCTGGCCGTTCTCAATCTCGCTAAACGAGAATCCAACTCGCCGGAAACGTTATCTGAGCTCTATCGGGTGTCAAAAGAGTGGAAAATTCCGCTTAATGTCGATGCGGCCGTGCTTCTCGTTCGGTCCTTTGGAATGGCTGAAATGGTTGATGAATCTGCGCTTGTGTTTAATGAACTTGATCCGTCTCTTAAAAGCACGTATGTTCGCAATGTGTTCATTGCTGTGTTACTGAAGGATGGGCGTGTTGATGATGCGCTTAAGGTGCTCGAGGAAATGCTTCAACCAGAATCCGAGGTTCCACCGAATGATGGTACCAGGGATGCTTTTTTTCACGGGTTACGGATGAAGAAGCGCAATGGGAGGTGGTTAAGTATTGAGGAGATTGTTCAGTTGGTGGTGAGATTTGGTGAACACTCTGTTTTTCTAAACTCCATTATGCTCAATAAGCTGATAGTACAACTGTGTAGGAGCCATCAAATTGATCAAGCTTGGGACTTTTTACGTGAATTGATGAAGCTTGGTGCTCCTATTGAAGTCTCTTGTTTCAATGCGATTTTGTCTGAGTTAGGGAGGAAGCGTGATGTTAATAGAATGAATTCACTTTTGAGGGAGATGAAGGACCGTGATATCCAGCCCAATATTATTACTTTTGGAATTCTTATAAACAGTCTATGCAAGTTGCGGAAGGTTGATGCGGCATTGGAGGTGTTCAAAAAGATGAGTGAAGGAAATGATGGTATTTCCATTGAACCTGATGTCATCACGTACAATGCCTTGATTGATGGGCTTTGTAAAGTAGGGAGACAAGAAGAAGGATTGGCTATGATGAAACAGATGAGGTCAGTAAATGGCTGTGCGCCTAATACTGTTACCTATAATTGCTTGATTGATGGGTTCTGCAAAGGTGGAGAGATTGATATGGCTCGTGAGTTGTTTGATCAGATGAAGAATGAGGGGGTTATGCCGAATGTGATCACTATTAATACATTGATTGATGGCATGTGTCATCATGGGATGATCAATAGCGCCTTTATGTTCTTCAATGAGATGCAAGGGACAGGACTAAGAGCCAATGTTGTTACTTATACAACTTTAATCACTGCTTTCTGTAATGTCAACAATATTGATAAGGCAGTAGAGCTGTTTGATCAGATGTTAAAGAGTGGACGCTCTGCAGATGCAATTGTCTACTATACTTTGATCTCTGGTTTGACTCAAGCTGGAAGGATGAATGATGCCAGCAATTTTTTTTCAAAATTGAAAGAAGCTGGTTTCCGCCCTGACATTGCATGCTACAATACTCTCATTGGTGGCTTCTGCAGGACAAACAAGATGGATAAAGCTTATGAGATCCTCAAGGAAATAGAAGACGTTGGAATGAGGCCTGATGCTGTCACATATAACACTCTGATTACTTATTTCAGCAGATTAGGGAATTTTTCAGTTGCCCTTAGTGTGATGAAGAAAATGAGGCAGCAAGGTCTTGTGCCTACCATTGCTACATATGGAGCTCTGATGCATGCATGCTGCTTAGCTGGAGAAATTGATGAAGCACTGAAGATATTCAGAAACATCTCCAAATCAAAGCTTTTTCCGAACACAATAATATACAATATTCTTATAGAAGCACTCTGCAAGAACAATAAAGTTGAAGTTGCGTTATCTCTGATGAATGATATGAAAGTGAAGGGGGTGAAGCCTAATACTACCACATACAATGCTATGTTCAAAGGTCTTAAGGAGAAACACAGTTTGGAGGATGCGTTTAAATTGATGGACGGAATGATCATTGATGCTTGCAATCCTGATTATATTACTATGGAGATTCTCACAGAATGGCTATCTGCTGTTGGTGAAATAGATAAGTTGAAAACCTTTTTGAAAGGATTTGAGGTTTCTCCTTCTGATGCTGCATTAGAAACACTGCAGGCGTAAAAAAGTAGTGCTTCCAATTCTAAAAATTCAAATCTGCCACTCTTATGAATTCTTAGGTCTTGAAGATCCAGAATACCTGTTCAAGTTTCCCCTCATATTGCATCATTTTCTCAGCCTGCAATTTTTGGGTTTTCTCTCCATTGAAGGCCCTTCATCGTGGCAGTGGTCTTGTACATCCCAGCTTCCGCAATTTCCTATAATTCTTCATCGCAGATTCCATAATCTCATTCTGAAGCAACAAAAATCAAAGGTATGCATACCTATATAGTATTTGTGAAGCCAATTCTTAATTCTGGCATAACGAAGAGTTTTGTCCCATGGATTCATTCAGGAATAACAGAGAACTATTTATAATTCATTTAAACTTGTTGCTTCTTATTGTTGTTGTTGTTGTTTTATTTATTTATTTTAAATTGTTCCTCATAATTTACTTGGTAGAAATTTCAAGTACTGAGTTTGCACTGAGGTTGTGTTTGGTATGATAGAGAATGTAAAGTTTCCTGGCATTTGGTAATCGTATGAGAACCAATCTCGTACTCTCGTAGAATTGAATAGCAAGGAATCACATTGTAGTTGCGACGTACCAATCCAAGATTTAGGCTAAAAGATGAGACAAAAAACCATAACAGATGAAGAAAATGATGAATTTACATCCCAGGCATCGGAAAGAACTCTATGCTTTGTCCCAATCAGGTTTGCCCCATTATAGGTCCCTCTCTTGTCTCTTATTTTAACAGTTTATGTTGAGCTGTAAAACTTTTCCATGTGAATGTTATAATTTCTATGCAAATAACAATGTGATTTTATTTCCCCCTTTTGTTGTCACTGAAAAACCAAAGGCCACCCAACATCATCTGAGCTGTTAATAAATGTACCATGGTGGAAGTAGAAAATTAAACAAAACATAAATAGTTGTTACCCATATGGACAAGGCTCAAATTGAAAAATCAAGAAGCATATACTATGAAATATAAACAAAATCGTGAAATTTTTGGGTAATAATCCTCATAATTTAATATCCAACTACATTTCAGCCAAAATATAAAAAGAAAACTCAAAAAGGAAAAGAAACGGTTAAATTTCAAAATCTAGTTCCTAAATTTTTAATTTTAAATAATTTTAGTTTCTAAATTATTTTTAACACTTTGTTCATTCTTTAACTATGAAAAATACATTTTTTTTGTCCTTCTATCAATTATGTCCATTAAATCTGATTAGTAGCATTTATTTCAATTTTTTAATGATTTAAATATGTATAAAATAAAAATTCAAGAATTAAAAATGCACAACAAAAATTAGTTCAATTAGAAAACAAAAAATGCATAAAATAAAAGTTTAAAAACCAAAAAAAAAAAAAAAAGAGCCAAACTTAATAGATAAAATTGACAAAAAAAATTTAAGTATTTTTTTTTATAATTAAAGTGTGAAAAAAGTGTAAAAATAATTTAAAAACTAAAATTATTTAATATTAAAAGTTTGAAACTACAATCGGCATTTAACCACAAGAAAATGACTAAAACCAAAATCAGTACTAGCTTTGTGACTAGTTCCTCTTTCTAAGGAAAGAACTACTCATTTCCTCTACAGAAATTGCTAAAAGAATCTGCCCAAAAGGAACAGTAATTCACTTCTTCAAAAAGTCTATTACATATACATAACAAGAAAAGGAGCAAAACCCCTCAAAGCAGCTTTTCCGTTGATTTTTATATGCCGCCGGCGGCAGTGGCAGCACTGTTGGCAATCCAAGGAAGGCCAAAATTGGCCGGAAAGTGATCAGAGAAGCAGTCTCCTGGGACGGGACCAGTGAGTTCGTCTAAACCCTCAAAGAAATCATCACTGACCGCCATATCTGATATCCCCAAATCATCTTCTTCCTCATCTTCCACCACATCCTCTCTGCTCTCCTCCGTTCTTGTGCTCTGGGGAACAAGTTCATCGTCCACGGAGGTAGCCGTAGAAGAACTGGTGGTGGGTTTGGCAGGGGAAGGCTTGGGGGAATCAGAGGCAGTAGTGATCGATTGAGTGGTGAAGGGCTTTTGCCTCGTGCTTCCGGCGAGTGAGTTCCGGTGCGTCGGAGCAGGGTGGTTATGCTCTGCTGTGTATGTGACTATGAACATAGACGGATCGGATCTGTTTCTCTCCACCTGTTTCCGGGCCAAACATCCCTTTGAGCTGCTGCATCTGTAATATCCTCTGTTATCCAAAGAAAAGGAAAAAAAGAGAGATTAATAAATCATCAAATGCATATAGACAAAGACAGAATTTCCTTTTCTTTTCGGAGAAAGAGCTATACCTTGGAAAAGGGGAGCCTTTGATGGGTTTTTGGCCATATTTCCGCCATGCCCACACGTCTGAAGAAAGACCTTCCTCCGGAACTTGGCAAACCCTTTTCATCTGGTTCTTTCTGTTCAAAAAGAAGGGGGACAGTACAAAGTCAGAATAAAAAGTAATGAAGAATCAATCAAGGAGCTAAATTTATGAGCTGGGTTTGAAGAATCTAAGCTTACCTTCTTTTGGATCGAGAGGAATTGGAATTAGGAGTAGAATTGCTGGTACTGGTATTAGCCGTGCCAATCAAAGAGACAGCTCGGGACTGCTTGGGCTGATGCTGATGCTGCTGTTGCTGCGGCTGCTGCTGTTTTATCTCCAGTTCATCTTTTGACCCAAAAAGAGAAGAAATTGAAGAAATGGGTGTGCTTTCCGGAGAAAGAGGCTGAGATTTGGGGAAGAAAGGCTTGTAAAGCTGATGCAGCTCCTCCACCACATTTCTAGCTTCAAAAGGATCAGGAAATGAAAAAAGAGGAGAAACCCCAGAGAGAGGATGCAAATCCGATCGGGTAACAGCGGAGCTGCTGCAAGTGGCGGAAGTGGTGGTGGTGGCGCAGCTTCTCACCACCGCATATAGATCCCAATCATCCGCCATGGCCTCTGACTTCTCTGTAGGAAATTGTTGAGGAAGCAGAGGAAGAGACAGAGAAGAAGACAAAAGTAGGCGCTGACTTTTGGAGAGGGGGGGAAAAATGGTGAGGGAATGGTAATGAGTGGAGTTTATATGGAAAGGAAAGAGGTTAGAAATTTGGAATCTCAATGCTTATCTTGTCACTTCTCTCTCTCAAACTTTTATTTTATTTTATTTTATTATTATTATTTTTTTTTGGTTTTCAATTTTCTCTCTCCGACATTGAAAACCGGTTTGGGGGGTGGGGTTTGTGGGATTCATTGGTGTTGGGGTTGACATTTGAGAAATGTCAAAGGCGGATTATATTGGAGAGAAAGTCCACGCGGTATGTCTCCTCCACCTTTGTGCTTTTTTACGAAGTGGAGTCTCGTGAATTACCGACAAACAGAATACGGATACGTAAAATAAAAATAAAAATAAAAATAAAAGGATTTGTTTAAAGGTAGGGGTAATTTTTTAAATATAATTTTTATATATTATTAAATAAATATTTATTTAATATTATAAATTTTTAATAAAT